CCATAAGCAAGGAGTGAGAGGAGTATCATACCCTCCCTCACCCTATGAAGACAACCCTAAAAAGAGTTCACATACTTAACTTTTTAATTTACTTTTACATTAGGGAAACAAGTGCAATAACCGACATGAGACCATGTGAGCTACATGAAATCTGGTGTTCTGCTCCCACACAGAAAAGAGATAGTTAACACTTGCCTAAGGTAATAAAGTCCTTCTCCTAGTTCAATTACAATTCCTTTTTAACCAGGACATTAGAAAAGGACATGAACTTTAAATTAAGTGGGACTAAAATTCCTAGTTCAACTACATTTTGAACTTAAATGGCAGAATAAAATCCCGCTGCTCCTAGACTTATAGCAATTCATTTTTGGTTATGATAAAGTAATAGACGAAAATATTGTGCTAGTCAAATTGGTTTCCTATTGCTTTTTAACAAGCATTTGTTTGCCTCGTATCAATTATCATGATTCAAATGGGTAAATTATATGTTTGGAAGTGGTAGACTCATGTGCCCACTCTAATTACATATATTGGTGTCAGACAACAAATTAAAACATTGCAAAGGCATCTCAAATAAATTATTATTAAATTAATACTTCATGTCTAGTCTTTGGAAAATAAAATATCTACACAAATTTGAAGTAGGGGACATTTGTAATTATTTAAGATTTACTTTAATAAAAAAAAATTAAATGATCCGAATTATATTAAACAATATATTAATTCAAATAAGTATTAATTATGGATTAATATAATTGAATTAATTATTTAAATTTAATAAATATGGATTTAATTAAAGTCCGCTCTATGAAGCTCATATGTCATGTCACTTCAGTTTGATGGCCGAAGGGAGTTCTATTTCAATCACCGCTCTCCCCTATTCTAAAACTATAAATAGCGGTCTTAATAATTAAAAAAATAGGACCAAGAATTTTAATAAGAAGCTAGAGAAAGCTCGTGGATCAAAAGCCGCAGATTATTCTACAAGTTCAAGAGTTCAAGAATTCAAATATTCAAGTTTCAATAACGATAAAGATCAAGACCGCCGGATTCAAGATCAAGCTCGAAGACCTTGAATTCAACTATAAGTTAGGATCAAGATAAAGTTCAAGTTCAAGTTCAAGATCAAAATAAAGTTCAAGATGAAGTTCAAGTCAAGATCAAGTTCAAGGTCAAGATCAAGATAAATCTCATGTTTAAAGATAAAGCTCAAGAGCCCTTGAGTTTATATTCGAAAAGGCGAATTCAAAAGAATTATAGAGATTGTAACACTAACATTTGAAATAATAAAACGATTTTTGCTATAAATTTTCATTCTTGATTATTGTTTTCTCGACGCGAATTTTATTGTCTACAAAAAGTTGAGTTCTTTTTTAATATTCCAAGTTTTCAACTATATAAAATATGAACCTTATACCTCGATTTATATTGTATCATGGAGGCATATAAAAGGTTAGTAATAAACATGACATTAACATGAATATAATGCAGGATATTATGGAAGTCAAAGGTTATAAAAATAATGATTATGAAGGTGGAGGTTATCTTCATAAATCAAAATGGAGGAAAATAATGAAGATAATGGATTAGAGTAATTTCTAATGTAATGGACATCCACACGATAATATTTTTTAACAATATATTATTCTTTTCATATAAAATCCATTAGCAAAATAACTCAAACCTAATAATTCAATAAGATTTTATTTCATTTGATTAATTCACATTCCAACCTTTTTGACTTTGTCTAATTTGTTTTGTTTTAATAGCAACAATAAAATGTGGTCTTATGCCACCTCTTCTGTTGTAAAAGAAAATACTTTCTTAGTCTCAGAAGTAGTTTGACTTGATACAAAGTTTAAGAAAGAAAAGAAAATTTTTAAAATTTGTGGTTCATAATGAATGATAAAAATTTATATGGGCAATAAATTATTTCATTAAAAATAAAATAGACATTATATAATTAAATTGTTATTAATATAAACACATTATTTTTTAAACTTAAAAGTAAATGATATAAATTGAGATAAAAGAAATAATGCGATCCATGTGGCATGCTGGGATGTTTAGATAATTTTATCCCGTTGCTTTCTGTACCTTCCAACTACATTTTCTTGTCAAAGTTGGTGTAAAACTATCTTTGGAATTACAAGCCAAAGCCCTGTGGTAAGTGTGCAAGTCTAGTGTGAGAAAATGAAAAATATTAAAAATTTATTTAGTTTAATTTCTACTTTTTCCTCTTGAAAAATCAAAAAAGAAAAAATGTTAATAGATCACAATAACCTTCCGGCGTTTTCGAGAAGTTTGTATAAGTAAAATGGTCTTTTAAAAATAAACTTGGACCCATGGTCCGGTTTTATTAAGATAAAATGATGGGCTCAAAATGAGTTCATGTAGTGATCAAAACCGTAATACATAAATTTTTCCTATTTTCGTTGTCCTCTGTAACTTATAAAAATCTCAAAAAAAATTATTTCTTTTAATGTATTCGAGCTAATATTTAATATATTCAAATTGTATATTAATGTATTCGAGTTAGTATTTAATATATTAAAGCTAGTTTTTAATGTATCAAAGCTACATATTAATTATCTGAGACAGTATTTAATTTATCTGAGCTACATATTAATGTATTTGAGCTATAATTATGATATTTAATTTTTTTATTTTTTTAAAAAATTAATGTTATTAGAAACTTATTAGGGATAAATTATAATTTTATATTAAAATTATGTGATTTATATAATTTAAACTTATATTATTCCCTCAAGCTTCAACTACACTGTGACTTCGAGTGTGTTTGGTATGAAGGAAAACATTTTCTAGAAAATGTTTTTCAATTTTTCCATGTTTGGTTGGGACAAAAGTTTCAGAAAATGTTTTCCAAATTAACATTTTTCTCAAAATTAAGGAAAATTACTTCTCTTCAAAAATTAAGGAAAACATTTTCCATAACTCTCCTCCAATTTCAAATTACATTTTTTTTTGGGAAAAACATAAATTTAAATAAATATTTTCAATTTCAAAATTTTATTTTTTCACCTGATCCTTGACCCTCCCCCACCGGCCAGCCCCCCCCCCCCCCCAAACCCCAACCCCTCCCTACCAAAATTAATTTTTACTTTTTTAAAAAATATTTTCAACTTCAAATTTTTATTTTTAAACTCCTATCCCCTCCCCCCTCACGGCCAGCCCCCCTACCGGCCCCAGCCACCCCAATCCCCAACAAAATTAATTTTGTTTTTTAAAAATACTATCAACTTCAATTTTTTTTATTTTTTCACTCATATCCCCTCCCCCCTCCCCCACCCCACCCCCACCACCCATCACCCCAAAAAAAAATTGATTTTGAAAAATATTTTCATGTCATAAATTATTTTTTACTCTAGTAAAATTAAAAGATGTCTCTCAAAAACATTTTTCATTCATAAATCAAACACAAAATAATTTCCAAAAAATATTTTCTACTAACCAACCAAACATGAGAAAATAAGTAAAAAATCCACTTGTTTTCTAGGAAAACATTTTCCATGAAAAACATTCTCCTCCATATCAAACACACCCTTCGTTTTTAACTTTTCCAACTCAATTCAATCTAATTTGCATCCATAACCAACATTATTGTAATAGTAAAACAAATCATAATTGTAATAATAAAACAAATCTAACATAAATTAATAAAATATTAATTAAATTAAAAAACCTCCCACCGATACAACATTGTTCACTTTCTCAAAGAGACATGAAATTTAAAATATATTCAAAAGAAAAATTTTAAATTGAAATTAAAAAATAATCATCTAAAAGTCAAAATAATAGTTTTTGTCTCACCGGTTGTCATGCAGCCATCTCATCATAAATTTAACCATAATATTATTATTATTATATAAATTTATATCAGTAACAATTTCAATATTGAAAGTTCAGTACTTTGTTCACCCGAAGAACTTATCTGCCTCTCTGCTAATCATGTCGCCGTCGCTAAAGTTCCTTTTGAGTTTATGACTCATAATAAGGACTCCTGATTATTATTATGACTAATTATAAAAGTAGGAAAATGATTCACTAAAAAAATTTGAATGTTATTTTATAATCAGCAACTAAATAAGTTACTAAAAGTATTCCATTATTTATGTAATTGTAGTTATAAATAGTTCAACATATCCATTTAGAATCTATCGAAAAATATTTGATGAAATAAAAAAATTTTAATATCCAAAGCGATCAAATTAGTTGTTATAAAAAAAATATAATAACTTTGTTAGATAATTTCCCATAATTCAATGACATAATTTTCAATATATTAACTCATTTTTATACAAAAAAAAAAAGTTTGAAGATATTTATTTTTTTGAGTCATTTCCATATATTAGGGACATTTATGGCCCTTTTCCAATACAAAACTCCTTTGTATATTGGTATCTCTCTTTTACATACTACAAATCACAATGAACTAATAAGTATAACTAATTGGATCGATAATCATAGAGAAAATAGATAATGGCAAAAAAATTACAAAAAATAAAATATGTAAAGAGACATGATAAATGGGTCGAGAAATAAAAGAGAATTAAGCACAATTTCTCAACTCAGCCATAGACCATGATGACCACAAACACTTCTATCACATATTCATAATTAATCGGCGGCTTATCACTATGCTCGTTCCATCTTGTGTATCACTATATCCATCTCTGTTCCACCGGAAATATCCAAATCAAAATCAAAGAACCATCATAATCGATAGTTAAAAATTTATTTATCCGAGCCCTCCCTATCTACCGTTACATTGGACTGTTTGAGTTCTCGTATTACTCCTATATTAGAAAAGGCATAATCAACATGCTTGCTTCAAGGGCTATTTTGGTCTTTACAAGGCATAATCAATATGCTTGCTTCAAGGGTTGTTTTGGTCTTTACAATATTTGCTTCAAGGGTTATTTTGGTCTTTACAAGTATATGTTAACTGTCTTTTCTTTGTTAATCTATTTTGCCTTTTCATTTTCTCAGCTAACGTGTCTTCTTCTTACCTATTAATTTTCTCTGCTAACATGTCTTCTTCTGATAAAATGAATATGCATGTCTTCCTCCTCCTATGTCTTCCTCCTAATGCTTAATTTATAATGATTCACTGCACATGGAATTTCACTCTCTTCAGCGTTCTCCAGGTAATGTTTTACATGTCTCAGCTTTCTTTTTCCTTCATCTTCCTGTCAATCGATGTTCAAGTTTTAAATTTGATCTGGGTGTGTAAAATTTTATCTTATTTTTTCATTTGGAATTGTTATTGATGTTGGATTATCCTTTTGGTTGGCTCATTCAGATTGATTTAGGTGGGTGAATATACCCAAATTTGATTTGGGTATGTGATACCCAAATTTTATTTGGGTTTTGAATTCCTCTTTCAAATTTCTGCTTGTCTTCTTTTCTTTATGTATGAAAAACCTATGTATTTTCACATGCAGTAACTTTTGGTTTTCTTTTGTGAGATGTAGTGTTAGTTTGGTCTTCCACTCTGTTCATGTATGAAAAACCCATATATTTTCACATGCAGTAAATTTTTGTTGTATTTTAATTTGGATAAAAATCAGTTGGTAACTTACTGGGACTTTGATCATGTCTTTGCATTGCATTTCCTATGCTCCTACAGCGAACACTTGATATGTTTGTGGGCGAGTTTGGATTTTATGATGCCTCTGAAACAGAATTCATGGCTCCCTGTTTATTTCAGTGTTGGTTAATATTGTTTTTTGGTCCACAATAATTTCTGAGCAATCTCCACATGATTCATTTCTCATGAAAAAGAACTGATGAACGAAACATGTACTCTTTTTCTACTTGATTCTTGTTCACAATTGTTGTTCTTGTTAAATTATGATGCTGGAAATCACCTGGTTTGCTTGTGGGGTTTGTGATTTTCTTTGGTCCTAGTGCAAAAGTTGTGATTTTTTCTTGGGCTTTGGTTGGTTTAGTTTACAGGGGAAGTAATGTTAGTGATTTCAATTCCTTATTTATTCAGTTTTCCTGAAAATCTTAATGCATGTTGAAGTTTTTGCTGAATATCACCTGTGTTGCTTGTGGATTTGAGAGTTCGTTTGGTATCAGTGTAAAAGTTTTGATCTTTTTGGGGTTTGATTAACTTTTTATCCAGGGATGGACTTCGCTGCATAGTTATAAGAAATTGACAGGTACTTAAATCTTGCAATCAATGATAAATTCTTAAACAAACCAGTACAATACTCAAAATTTATGAGCAAAATATAAAGTATTATATCCTTAAAATTCTACAGTTGCTTTTATAGAATATTATGTGTTCACAATTATTGATATGGATGCAATTCGTCCAGCAAATCATATGTGAAATACTAACCAAGTTGTTAGGCGTGATTAATAACAAGAAGAGAGCTTGAAAGACCATTTTGGGTATAGAATTGGTAAATGTTACCAACCAAGGTATACTTGCATCTACTGACCATTTTGACTTTGAAATCTTCTTCCCGAAAGGTTATGGAAGGGTATCCTTGCCGAGTGTTAATAATAGGAGGGGTTATCTCTATGGGTGAGACATATTGATTCATCCTGATTCTTAGGACCCTTTTTGGTTGTTTTTCCTAAATCTTTATGCTGCAGTTAATTTTTTACTTTTAATTTACTCAAATATGCACTGTGTAAAACGTGTTCTTGTTCTTGAATTCATTGTTGCAGAGACCCTTTTAAGCCCAAAGGCCTTTCCTGATTTTTCAATAAAGGTATGAGCTCTTTCTTATTATGGTTTGAGTTCTTCATTTGACTTGATGTGGGGTTTAATTTCATACTGTTTTGTTATGTATAGTTGGTGAGTTGGTAATTTGTTTCGTTGGTTTAATATTGGGGTTACTTTGTTGATTCTGAGTTTAAAGATTCAAACTTTGTGCTTTTTTGTTCTGTTTTAGGCTATTTTCGTGTATTGTCTCTGCTTAGTTGAGCTGCTGTATGAATTATTTTCCGATCAATATTTTGCATCAATAGTAATTTAAAAATTATACACTCATACTACCAAAGCAATTGAACTGTTGAATCCAAAACAAACAATAATTGAGATGTCAATACAGGAACAAAATACGCAGCAGAAGAGCTAGATCAAAGAAAATAATTTAGCACCATAAACTAACAAAAGATGATAAAAGCAGAACTATATTGACAGATTATGCTATGCACGAGTCCTTTGTGAGGTCGTTTAGAGGTCTACTACATTCGAGTATTTTTCTGTTTAGAGGAAGCGATTTGAAAGAGTTTGTCAGAGTGGTTGATAAACTTAGAAGTTCCTGACATATGTCAGAAATCGACAAATGAGCATTGTCTAAAGCCACAACATTTGGCTACTGCGAAATGCAATGAATAATCTCACAGTTCCAACATCCCCAGTTATTCTTCAGGCTTGCTCTTTGATCTTTACTTGTAAGTCCTACAGGAGTAAACCCAGAAGTTATAGACATTATCTTTTCCAAACCTCACCTGGTGGGATTACACGGGGTATGTTGTCGTTGTTGTCTTTATGACGTTGGCACCGAGACCTTGGAGTTTCATTTTTAAATTTTCATAACCCCTATCAGCATGGGAGGTTCCACTGATTTCAGTAATTCCTTCAGCAGACAGACTAGCTAAAACTAATGATATCCCCCCCCCCCCCGCCCCCGCAAATCAGTTGCATTGACCTGAGAACTGCGGAATGGATTAGCAGAAAATCCATAACAACATCAATACGCGATATAGTTTGTATAGAACATTAGGAAATCAAGCAAGAACTATAAACTTACGCTGCCTTTCCCTTCCCATAAACAGTTGCTCTGCTTCCAAAGACCTGAATATTAGCTTCAAATTTATGCAGCTCAGTTACTGCACAAAAGAAGATAATGAAACATTTAAAAGAAACATCGAATACAATTATATGTCAAAAAAATAACAAACTGTTCTGTACGCATTCTGACCTGATATTCTTTAGCAATTATGTGAGACTTAGGATCCCTTAGTTTTGTTTGGGTGTTTCAAATTCTTATGAAAGAATCACCAATTTTTTTATTCTTTAGTGTGTAAAAAACCTACTGTTTCAGTATGCTTAAGTCTTTTTTGGCTTTTGAAGAATATGGTACAGGGGTGATTATAATTGTAGATAGTATTCAATTTTGTTGCATGTTGCTAATATTTTTCTATAGTTATGTCAATAAGACTAAAGGCACAAAATCTGAGAACCCCATTTCGAATTCTTGGTTTAAATCAACCTCATTTTGCATATTTCCGTTTTGGATCAACCAAAGCTCAAACACAGTTAAATCACATGCACAACATTCATAATGATTCCCAGTTTTTTGTTTTATTCTGTTTTTTAATAATGTTTATATCTTACTTGCTTAAATTTTCTTCCTTTTTTTCACAGCTTTGATTGATAATGTTTGGAGTATTCTCTGTTCTAAAAGCTTGGTTATTTACTTAGTTGTTATTGTCTTCAACATGCCTTTCATGTGCACACTTTTTTATAATAAGTGATGGTTTAGACTCGCAGTCGCGAGCTTTATCTATCTGCTTTTATACCATGTTAAATTATATATACCGTGTTAAATTGTATAGTAGCATAGCCGCGTAGAATAAAAGATGGCCAATTGTGTGACAATGTTAAAGAAAATATCTAACTGAAAACTGTTGCTACTGAAGGTTTAGTTTAACACTCAAATCTTTTGTTTCTACTAATAGTAGCAGTATAAGGTTTGTTATGACTTATGGTGCTAGCTGTAGCATAAGATAGACAGTTAAATCCCATGTACAACATTCATACTGATTTCTAGGTTTGGGTTTTGTTTTGTTTTTAAGTAATGTTTATATCTTACTTGCTTAAATTTTCATCCTTCTTAACAGCTTTGATTGATAATGTTTGGAGTATTCTCTGTTCTAAAAGCTTGGTTATTTACTTAGTTGTTATTGTCTTCAACATGCCTTTCATGTGCACACTTTTTGATAATAAGTGATGGTTTAGACTTGCAGTCGCGAGCTTTATTTATCTGCTCTTATACCATGTTAAATTATATATACCGTGTTTAATTGTAAAGTAGCGTAGCCGTGTAGAATAAAAGATGGCCAATTGTGTGACCATGTTAGAGAAAATATCTAATTGAAAACTGTTGCTGCTAAAAGTTCAGCTTAACACTCAAATCTTTTGTTTCTACTAATAGTAGCAGTATAAGGTTTGTTATGACTTATGGTTCTAGTTGTAGCATAAGATAGAATTAATTAATGAAGATAAGTATGACATGAAAATGACAAATTTATGTATCATCTTAGGAGGAGGTACAAGTCGGATCCACCAATTGATCTCTATCTAATATTTTTCGTAATTGTCATATACGTATGTGTTGTTTAGTGAGTGACATGATTCTTGTCTATGTCAATTTTACTTCTGTCACTTTTATGTCCCAACCTGCAAGTCCATTTGGGATTATATAATTATGACTAATAAAATACATAACTAAAAAAAATAAAACAGCATACATATTGGAAAATATATATAATTCTTTTTTAATAAATCCTTTATTATGTTTGTAGATGATGTTTTAAGTACAGAATGACAACTTTACTTTGAGGAAGTATTAGGACATTTCTATTCAATATTTTGTTTAATTCCAGATGGGTTTAAGAAAGTGAAGGAATTATTTCACATTTTGTTGTAGGATATAGGTATAGCTATAGATTATAGATCATAGTATAGTAAATAGTATGTAATATTGGAGATAGAATTGCATTAAATAATATTTCTGGAGAAGTATCATCAGTGCATGTAAATGGAATGACTGACAGTAACATGATGAATTTTAGCAGCAGAAAAAAGTCTTTTGAGGAACTTTGCATGTTAGCAGTACTTTCATATCAGATAAAACTTACTCAATAGTTACCCACCAAAAGAGAGACAATAAGTAGGATTTTCCCATGGCCATGGCTACAACCCACTCTTCCAGCCTTGAGTGGGGTTAATTAGTGTGTACACACACACATCATCCACCACACCTATTCCTACTTCTCATTTCGTTTATAAAATAATTGCCACTTGTCGGTTAGCTTTAGACGTATTTCAATTATTTCAGATTATTATATACGATTTGAATTTTATTGATTATTTAACAGCGATGCAAATACACAAAAATTTAGGTATTAATATCATAGGCAGTATGGCCATTGTGTTTACGACTTAAAATTTTGCCAATGTATTTTTGCTGGAAAACATGAATACATTTTCTAAGTGGAGTTAGTTTACCTTTTATAATTGCTCGTAATAGATGTCATAATTGAATTCGGTTTACCTTTTCTAAGTGTAACAACAGCTAAGCCTCCTACTTTTTTAAGAAATAAATCATATGAAAGTTTTCTTATCAGTTTTCAGTTTCTCTCTACTTTTAAAGGAGCTTTAGCATCCTCATCAGAGAAATTCTATCAACTCTACCAAAAGCAACTATACTGATTATGAGCTCATACAAACTACAATATGCTAACAATGCCATTATGACTTACCAATTGATACTAATATTTTCATTCGAGTATTTAAGTTAATAAGTATGTTGTTTTGTTTGTCTAAGCTTTAATATATTCATATGGCTACACTAATATCATACGTTTGAGACGAACTATTAGAGATGATATTTGATAGATACAACTTGTTGAAAATATTAAATTCCTTTTACAATTAGTTTTTGCGTGCAGTGTGAAGATAGAAATTTGCAATTACTACTACTGCAGTCTCAGCGCTACAGGTATGTTCTTTTCCACCCGTTATTACAGTTTCTCTTTTGCCTTCTGTATTAATTTTCTGCATTTTTTTTAAATTCTGCAAAGAATAATTTGGTTTGTTATAATTACTTTGAATTGTTTTATGCATGTAATTTGATTTGTTATAATTATTTTGAACTGTCTTATGCATGAGTAAGAAAACTAAAGTAAACATATAATTTATATATCATATTCAGGATAGATAACAGTTCTACGAATGGCAGACAAAAGTAATAGAAATCATCTGAATTCTGAAAAAGCTCATGCTGATAAAAAATCTAGACGGCGTGAATTATATAAACTTAAAGAATCCAATAAGAAAGATGCCTATCTAGCTGGCAGACGGGCAAACTCAGCCATCGACAATAATGCCTTCATCGGTGCTAGCTGCAGCACCACCACAATGTCTACACATGAGGAAACTCTTAATAGAGGTAAAATAGTTGGATAGGCAAATAATCTAAATAATCTTTATCTACTAAAATTAGTTTTAAGAATTAACTACATTATGCAGGATGTAGTTCAACAGAAGTTAATTACATGGAAATCATCCACCCGATAACAAATTATGCTACCCTAAAAGATGTTCGCCGGTGTAAATTCTGCACTGCAAAAAGATTTGAGTATGAGCCGCCAGCATTTTGTTGTGGCAATGGTATTGTGGCTTATTTCACATCAAACACCGACAACTTTAAGAAATCTATATTTAGGAAATACGAATGAATCTGAACAGTTTCGAACTTATATAAAAACATACAATAACATTTTTGCATTCAAATCTCTAGGAGTTAATTATGACAAAGAACTACCAAAAAAATATATAGGTATATCCACATTTCGAGTTCAAGGAAAAATGTATCACTTTATAGAGGACTTAGTACCAGCTACTGAGAAAGGAAGAAATTTACAATTATATTTCTTTGATAGTGAAAATGAATTGAGGAATCGATTAGAATGTTCAAGCAAACTGAATGAAGGTATTGTACAAAAACTGATAGAAATATTAAATGCTAATCCATACTCCATATTCCCAAAGTCACTAATAAATATTCCGCAATTATCTAACTTCTACATTGCTCTAAAATCCGATGCTGGTTTAGATCAAAGAATGTACAACTTACCAACTGCATCAGAAGTTGTTGGAATATGGGTAGAGCAAGATACTCAAAACTATACACTCACCCCTCATATTCGTGTATATACAAATAGCAATAGGAGTCAATTGGTAAATTATTATTACAGTTGTTATGATCCATTGCAGTATCCACTGTTATTTCCATATGGTCAAAATGGATGGCATTGTGGTATTCAGAAAGTTGAACCTTTAGGTGCTTCTTCTTCTGGACAAAAATATTGTGAAAATGAACAATTACCAAGCATAACAAATATGACTACAATTGATGGATTTCTTGATATAGAAGCTGAAGTTATGCAATAAGGAATACGTAAAAGAAATAGTGTCTCCTGTCGTGAATATTAGTGTTATCAACTTCAAATGCGAGATGATGAAAATATAATTATAAATTCAGGAAGATTGTTTCAACAATACACTGTTGACCAATGGATAAAAATTGAAACTCAACGATTAGATTTTGCTTCTTTCAATCCGAATTTATATAGAACAGATGTATTAGGAGGGTTGATAGACGTTCTACGACGAGGTGAAAGAGATGCTTCACAAGTAGGTAAACACAAATTTCTCCCACTTAGCTTTACAGGAGGGCCAAGAGATATGCGTAGACGATACATGGATGCAATTGCATTGGTTCAGCGTTTTGGAAGACCTGATATATTTTTAACCATTACATGTAACCCCTCTTGGCCAAAGATCAAAGAAAATCTTCTTGCAAGTGATGAAGCACAAAATAGACCCGATTGAATTTGTCGAGTATTTCGTGCAAAATTAGAGGAACTAAAAAAGGATTTGTTAAAGAAACACATATTCGGTAAAGTCTTGGCATATATGTACACAGTAGAATTTCAGAAACGAGGACTTCCTCATGCTCCATTTCTAATTATACTCGATGAAAGATTCAAAATACTTACACCTGAAGCCTATGATCGATTTGTTTCTGCACAACTACCAAATCCTACTGTAAATCCTCACCTATATTCACTCGTTACACAACACATGATTCATGGACCTTGGGGTAAACTAAATCCAACAAGTCCTTGTATGAAAAAAGGATATTGTAAGTTTAAGTATCCAAAAGAGCTTGCTCATGAAACGACAAAAGGAAAAAGTTCATACCCTATTTATAGAAGACGCAATACAGGAAACTATGTGGAGATTAGAAAACATCTTATTAATAATTCATGGTTTGTCCCTTATAATTCCTTTTTATTATCCAAATATAATTGTCATATAAACGTTGAGATTTGTCCAGATATTATAGTAGTTAAATACATTTATAAGTACATATGCAAAGGACATGATAAAATCGCATTCAAGATTCATACTAATGATACAAATATAGAAGTTGATGAGATAAAAGAATATCAATCAGCTAGATGGGTTTCCGCGCCTGAAGCAGCATGGCGTATATTTGCCTTTAATATCAATGAAATGTCTCCTAATGTATACCATCTTCAACTACATCTTGATAGACAACAGCTTGTTTCGTTCAAAAGTATTGATAATATTAGTAAAATTATTAATAATCCAATGATTAAAAAAACAATGTTAACTGAATTTTTTGTAATGAACACAATGAATGAAACAGCTAAAAGTTTAAACTTATTATATCGAGAATTTCCTGAATATTTTGTCTGGTCAAAAACAGATAAAATGTGGACAATTCGTAAGCGTGGAAATGCTATTGGACGTGTTGTCACTTGTCATCCTACTGAAGGAGAAAGATACTACCTTAGATTACTTTTAATGAATATAAGAGGACCATTTAGTAGAAGCAGCTGAAAAAAGAGGATTGTTGCTTTCAGATAATAATTTAGTAGAATGTATGTCTGAGGCTGTAGATTATCAAATGCTAGCAAGTCTTAGACATTTGTTTGCTATGTTACTGATATATTGTAGCCCAAGTAATCCAAAAGAATTATGGTAAAAATTTGAAATATCCTTATCAGAGGATTTTATGAGAATTCCAAACATTAATACAATGGAAATTCGTTATAGGGTGTTAACGCATATTAATGATATTCTTCATTCAGTTGGTCGTGATATAAATGAATTTAAATTAATTCCTGAAGTAATTAAAACATCTGCACTATCAAAAGAAGCTACAGATGTTTACTATGAAAGAAATTTTACTGTGACTGAAGATGATCTGCTTCTACAATATAAATTAAACACTGCACAAAAAAAAGCTTACAATATAATCTTAGAAAGAATATTTTCAAATAAATCCTGTGCATTCTTTATAGATGGCCCTGGAGGAACTGGTAAAAGCTTTTTATATCGTGATTTGCTAGCAACGGTTAGATATAGAGGATTTATAGCTTTGGAAACTACAAGTTCAGGTGTTGCAGCTTCGCTGCTTCCAGGTGATCGCACTGCTTATTCCCGTTTTAAAATTCCAATAAATGTCGAAGGAAAGTTCAGTTGTAACATCAGTAAACAAAGTTCTCTGGCATCTTTAATTCGTGATGCAAAAATTATAGTATGGGATGAGATTTAATGGCAAAAAAAGAAGTAGTTGAAGCTCTTGACTTACTTTTGAAAGATTTAATGGAAACAAGAATACTATTTGGCGGAAAAATTATTGTTTTTAGTGGGGATTTCAGGCAAACTCTTCCTGTTGTTCGTAGTGGAAAAAGAGAAGACTTCATTAATCAAAGTCTATTATGCTCTCAAATTTGGAATCAAGTTGAAAAATTACATTTGCTAGAAAACATGCGTGCAAAATTAGATCCAACCTTTTGTGAATACTTAATTAGAATTGGTAATGGAATTGAAAAAAAAATTGATAAAGGCAAAATTCAAATTCCTCATTCTTTAATCGTACCATTCGAGAATGAAAAAGATTCATTGAATCTTTTATTTAAAATTACTTATCCGAATTTGCACACCTCTTACTCAAATCTTTCTTTCATCACTTCTCGTGCTATTCAAACAACAAAAAATAATTTTGTTGACGAAATAAATGATATGTTAATCACTCAATTCCCAACTACTGAAAAAACATATCTAGCTACCGATGAGACCATAGATCCAAAGGATCAAAGTGAATACGAAGACTTATTACATAATTTGAATCCCGTTGGTTTACCTCCTTACAAATTAACGTTAAAAAAATTGTCCAATTATGTTACTAAGAAATTTAAATCCCTGTGAAGGTTTATGCAATGGTACACGCTTAATATGTAATGATTTCAGATCACACGTTATCAGCGCCACAATATCTAATGGTGATTTTAAAAATACACATGTATTCATTCCTAGAATACCACTACTAACATCAGAAGATGAAAAGTTACCTCTACCATTTAAAAGGATACAATTTCCAATACGATTGTGTTATGTAATGACAATTAATAAAGCACAAGGCTAAACTTTAGATTTTGTTGGCATTTATTTACGTGAACCTGTCTTTTCTCATGGTCAATTGTATGTTGCTTTATCAAGAGCCAAGAGTTCTAATTGTGTTAAGATATTGATAAGGCCACCAAATAGCTGATAATAACGATGACACATCTACATATAACATTGTTTATGACGAAATTATAGAAAAGGATTTTTCGTGAAACTATCTTACACTTTTGATAGGTAAACAACCTATTGTATTCTATTATTTGATCTCATATATTTTTTTATTTCATACCATTATTCTTCTATTAATGATGATGTTTTCTTGTATATTTAATCCCAGTTACCAGCCATGACAGAAAGATTGAATATCAACGAAATCGACGAGAACATAGAAGAATGGATTTGTAAAGTTCAAGTGGTAGATAAAGGTCATCCCCGAACCACTAGGGAGGGAAACAAGAAATATCAATTGATGATATTACAGGATGAAGAGGTATTTGTCACTAAACTAATAAATACTCATCTACTTTCATAAATTAGTTTGTAGCAAAATAAATATACTGCATACCATTTTTACTTTGCTTTTTAATGGTTATAATCTGTCTTCACTCATTAATCTTCAATTCAGTGCTCTTCTACTTAGTTGAAATACTGTTCCTTGTGAGTTTTGCTGTCAAGCACTTGTTGTCACTGTAAATCTACATTTTATGTTTCTTTTGTTGTAGAAAAGTTACAGATTGGGTTAAATATAATTGGTTTTGTTTGTAGAACTCAGGTAAACTTGAATTCTGAAGTTTCTTTTTAAATAAATTTGGCTATTGATTGATTTGATTTTACGTTGAAGTTCTATTCTACTTCTTGTCAGTTTTGATATGAAGCACTTCTTATCACTCTTAATCCACGTTTTAATTCTCTTTTTTTTGTAGACATAATTTGTGATATAGAGAAGTTCATTACTGTTTGAGTTCGATGCTATTGATTTTCTTTGCAAAATATAGAAAGTGGATTAAAACCTTAGCGGATACCAGTGCAGTTAAGATATCGAATTGTTTTTTTAAGTCAAGTCACATGCAAATTTTTAGGAACGACAGTGTGAAGATTATAGAAAAAATGAAATATTATTATACAGATAATGAAGAAGGATAAAAAATGTCTTCCTCAACTGATTTTGTAACCGCACAGAAAAACCTGATAAATATGTGAACTGATATTTGAGAATTAATTTTTCCACTAAAAGTGTTGCTTAATGTTGTTGATGTCGTGTTCCTTGAATAATGATCTACAAAATAAGTACTTACATATTTTACTATAGCCTTCATTCTGTTTATTAAACCATCATGTCCATGGCAAAATCTCCCCTCATACTCATATCCTTTAAATTTTATATTCTCCATAAAAAAATAAGTTTTCCCAAAAATTCAAAACACTTTGAATTTTTATACCAACTATATGTTATTTCACTTATCTAATATTATTCTAATTTCATTAAATTTCTCAAAGGAAACTCAAATACAAGTTATCATGCACGGTACAGATATCGCACATTATGCAAATGAGTTTGTTCCTTTTCAAACATATTTGCTATCGGGGGCATTTGTCTCCGAGTCGATCAAGGCGTGTGGAATTTCTCTTCATCAATTCAGCTGGACAATTGATAAGGGCATAGTTTTTGAACCAATAGATAAAGTCATACCCCCTGAACCACCATTGCTGCCACCAACGCTGCTAAAAATTACATCGTTTGACAGTTTCGATTATCAAGTTATAGGCTTTGAATTCGGTACTTCTCAAAATATATTTACAGTATACTTACCAGACATATAACTCATTTTTCATAACTATTACCACTTACTAATAACTCTTTAATTCTTGCAAGACATTCTTGCCCTCGTGATAAATGGTAGTCCTCCATCATATGCCTCAAACCTTGCCCTCGTGATAAATGGTAGTCCTCCATCATATGCCTCAAACGGGAATAGAATTCAAGAATTCATCATCAACAACTATGAGTAAGTACAATGTTACTTTTCATCTTATATCGTTCTGTTTTTTATGTGCTTGTTTCAAATAACTGGATTTATTAATAAATAGTGATGTCATCTTCCTTTTCGTCAAAGTTGAAGGTCCAAATTTGATCTAGGTGTATGATTGACCCTCTTTCTTAGAAAGTAAATTTTTTTAAAAAAAATTCCCTTCTCTGTGATTGCAAGCATCTCATATTTAAATAGCTTGATCTAAGGATCTAGAAAAAGATAAGTTGGTTACCACATATTGATAAAAAGTTTCCAATTATCGCATAGATTGTTCTTATTTCCTTTGCAAATCAGTAACTGGCTGCTATGACATTAGGAGTGGAAGATATGGTTGATCTTCTGGTTTTGATTTTAATTTATATCTTGAAATATCGGATTTATCTAATTGTGGTGTACTTAAACTTGCAGCACATCTATTGTTATTACTGTTTGATTATCCTTTTTATTGACTGATTAAACCTGATCAAGAGTGACAAATATAATATGCCAACACCCATAGACAACACTAACCAACCACTTTAATGGAAGAATTAGTCAATTCTATTTGAATGTAACCTTACCATGGTATATAGCTTGATCTAAGGATCTAAAATTTCACTCAATTTCACAATGTTTTCTGCTCCATCTACTTCTTCATTCGTAATGTTGCTCAAAAGCGAAAAGAAAAATATAAATAAGGAGAAAAAGTTAAGTTGGTTACCACATTTTGATAAAAACTTTCCAATTATCGCATGGATTGTACTAATTTCCTTTGCAAATCAGTAATTGGATGCTATGGAATTGGGAGTGGGGGATGAGGTTGATCTTCTGATTTTGTTTTTTATTGAATAGTTTGAAATATCAGATTTATCTAATTGTGGTGTACTTAAACTTTCAGCACATCTATTGTTATTAATGTTTGCTTATCCTTTTGATTAACTGATTAAACTTGATCTAGGTTTGTCAATATTATCAAATCTGATTATAGCGACATAGTAATGGTTAACTTGCAAGCTCATTCTTATAAGGAATGTCATGCACATTATTGGTATTCAAGAGTGACAAATATAATATTCCAAGACACATAGACAACACTAACCAACCTCTTTAATGGAAGAATTAGCCAATTCTACAAGTTGCTCTCTAAAAAAAAGGGGACACCTAGCTATTTGAAAAATCTAAGTATGCTTACTCCGTCTTTGTTTAGCCAGAAGTCCTCTTCTTCTTATGACCAAAAGGAATACAGCTCTACAAAGTAACTATGTGGTCCTTTTTTTTTTTGAAAAATATTTTTTAGATTTTAATCATCTTTCCACAACCACCTCATTTATTATATATATATATAAATATATAAATAAAATTCTTTTCTAAAAACTGATTTCAAATAATTTCAAAAAATCTTTTTATATAGAATAGGATAGGTGATTTCGCTTACGTGTCAACATCACAAAAATAAGACTTTTGTCCATTTGAAGAACACATAGTGCCTATTGTCAACATCCAGCAACAGTCTTTGGTATGTGCATCATCTACATCATAAATCTCTTTTTGAAATGAAATGTTAATCTAATTTACCATTTCATATGTATGCACAGGGGCAAGTATTCCACGTGCAAGCTCAATTGTTAATATCCAATGAAACTCAAAAATTTTTTGTCTTAGTCTGCTTTGACTGCAAGCAAGTATTTCCAAGGATTTGGACACAGAGAACATTCTATTGTATAACTTGCCGTCGACAAACAAAACTCACACCAAGGTATGAAAATCATATCAGTAAGATCAATCACTGCATAACCATAACGTCCTTGAATTTAAATTTGGTACGTTAAATTTTTAAAATTTTTAGCACTGATTTAGTTGTATGATTTAATTAGTCTATTCAAAACTTAAACGGATTGGATAAGTTAGTGTTATGCACAATAAATAATAAATAGAGAAAACATCAAATAACTACAAGAAAATTCAACAACCCTTTTTACCTATGTTCTTCCACACCCATAATTGCGATTTCTTTCTCTCCTTCCTCCTTTAATCTACTTGATTAGTAGCGATTCAGTCACTCTATTCTGCTTCATTTTGATTGATATGAAATTTGGGGATATTTGAGGAGTTTAATTAAGGGTACAAAGTTCTTGTCTTGTTACCGGTGAAAAGAAAAATCACTAGAGAAAGAACTGGAATGTGTCATAGACAAAGTAAGAAACTATTAATAGCAGGTATAAATGAAATTAGGATCTTATACTCTTTTATAAATATACATCTCGTAGTTATATCTCAAGTTAAATGAATTGAAATTTGTGACCAGGAGTATGTTCCTGTCTACATGGGAAGTTCAATATATTTTTCCAATAAATTGCATACTTTTGCAATGTGGATTAGACATTTCTTAATTTTTTGATTGGCAGGAATTCCACAAATCAAGTTATGATAGTATTATCTCAATCTAATACATACTTTTAGAAAGTATCTCATTATGTTTTAGTGTCTCACTTCAAAAACTACACACACCCAAACTGATGCCGAAGTTTTCTTTTTCCATTTTTTGAGTAACCAATATGATAAAATATTCAGGTGCTGCAACCTTACGTATCATAGTTTAGTTTTCTTAAGGCTTAAGCTACTTCATTTTTTTTGCAACTGCTAACATTTTATTGATGTAAAATATTGTTACAGGTTATAGATTATTTATATCTTATTTAATTATGGTTTGATAGGCTGAAAGAATTGGCTTTGATAAATTGTGATGTAGTGGAAAGATAATTTGGATACGTGTTGAGTTGGTTGCTTTTATATTTTATTTCAATTATGATGTTCATTCAAGTAGTCAAAGAGCATACTACCAAGAATAAGGCATCTCCTAGCCGGCTAACGTCCTTTCTTTCTTGTAAAGTTATATAAATGCCATCTTTGTTTGGTAACGATTAGTAAACTAAATAACAATTTTCAATTTAAAAAATTATCATTGAACATAAACATATTGAATTTTGATCAGATGCCAGTTTGAAGTAACCATCAAAGATGATACTGGTTCAACAACAGCCATGATTTCAGATAAAATTGGAGAAGAACTATTGTCTCTAACTGTAGCAGAAATTCATGACATATGTTGCATCAAGGTAAAACACTCTACAACCTCTTGTTTAATCCTTAAAAATCTAATCTTACATGATCTCTTCCATCTTTCAGAAACAACTGTTGTCACTCGTATCCATGCAACACATACTGCTAGGTAAGACATTCACCGTCCAAATAAAAAAGTTGTTTGCCAAAAACAAGGATGCATCTTCAGCAAAACTGTTTAGCATGTCAATCACCGAGAAAGATATTGCTAGCAATCTGCCACTGCCCATTAACACACCAACAACTCCAGAAAGCAGTAAACGCAAGATGAAGCAAATCATGATAAAAGAAGACTAAAAGGTATTCTCTCTACACGACTCTCAATTGCTATGCAACAATAAATGTAGTTTGTCCTATTGATTTTAAAACTAATGCTTGCATTTGTTGTTGGATTTTTTTATGATGTTATATGTAAATTCTGGATTAGATCTATATAGGAAAATATGTTTTTGATGATATGCTATGATTAAATTTTATTCTTCTGGAAATATAACAAATGTGGCTACAACTTGTATCCCTATTTATTGCTGAAGGGAATCTATCAAATCTGTTACATTTGATAGATTATTTATAGAAACAGGATGTGTGTTGCATTAGGAAATGTGTTTCAGTTTGATTGCTGATTGTTGATAGTTTGGTAGATTAGAACATGGAGTCTGGAGAATATAATGGAGAGATTTTATTGGATAAGTCTCTTACTGCGCAAGTCTGAGAAATAAATAGCCTAAAAAAGAAGCCCATATTTTTTTGGTGCGTAAAGTAGATGACAAGTTAAACGCACCTTTGACATTTTTTATTTTATTTGTTGTTTAACATGTTAAAGAATGCTTTATCAAAGTGAAATGAATAGGTTGACCTTTGCCAATACAAAATATTATTATTATTAAAGAAGATTTTTTTCCATTAAAAGCTATTATATACATTTGTTTATGTACATCTTTGAGGTAGAAACGCGAATTGATGGGAAGTTTTGAAATATTTTGAAATTGGATTCTAATATCAAGGTGTCTGATTCTGATTTTCTAGATAAGATTTGATACTCTCCTTTTGTTATAGTTTAATACTTTTTTGCAATATGGTTGGCAACACCATTTTATCTTGATGGCGTACACTTTTGGTGGTGATAGCAAGGACTTTGTTGCATTGTAATAAGAAATTGACAGGTACTTAAATCTTGCAATCAATGATAAATTTTTAAACAAACCAGTACTATACTCAACATTAACTCCTCCCCATAACAATATACTGAATTCATTTTCCATCTTATTTCAGAGGTGCTTTTTGAATGATGCTGACTAATAGTCAAAATGCAGCATTATGTAAATATTGTATATATCCAACCTAAATAACACAGCCATAACAACGAACAAAACAACTGCCAACCATATTTCATATATATATATATATATAATATATATCTATCCATCTCTCTCTCTCTCTCTCTCTCTATATATATATATATATATATATATATATATATATATATATATATATATAGATAGATAGATAGATAGATATATATATATATATATAGATAGATAGATAGATAGATAGATAGTTAAAAATCTTTCAATGTTGGGCCCGTGCACCTCTACCTAGTAGTATAAAAAATGAGATGTCTACACTAATTTGTTTTAAAGGTTACTAAGGAAAACTAAAATTTCAATTTTCAAGAAATGTGAAAAATAATACCATTCAATATTTTATGTGATCATAATAGTAATGGAAAAAGCTCAAATATGCCATAAAATAATAAAATTTATGTGAAGACGTATTTGGCGAGAAAATGATTTAACTGATTTTCAAAACATTCAAATTTCTATTATGTTTAAGGGCAAAAGACAGAAATTACATACTTTTAAGATAAAATTATCATTTGTCTCTTATAAGTGTATAATTACAGAAATATCTCAAATAATAGGATAATATAAGCGCTGATACATTAAAATGATGCACGAGATACATTAATCTTTAAGTAAGATACATTACATTTTATACATGATACACTAATCTGATGTACATTTTATACATGATACACTAATCTGATGTATATTTTATACATGATACACTAATCTAATGCACGAGATACACTAATCTGATGTGCAAGATACGTTAACCTGAAGTGATACATTAATCTAATGAGCAAGATACACTAATTTGATATGCAAGATACATTAATCTGATGTGCTGACACATTAATCTGATGCGCAAAAATAAGAAATTTGGGAATTTGTAAAAGGGAAAATTGTATATAATAGCAAACTAATAACCTAAAATAAATGGAGTAGCTAGGGTTTGATTTAATTGTGCTCCATAGCAAACGTTTGCAATAAGTTGTCAGGCGACTCTCTCTTAAATATCTTGCTCGCCACTCTCTTCCAATCTCTCGCTCGCTTCCTCACTTTTTATAAAAACACAAGTGTATAAAAATTGTTTCTAATTGCATAAAGCATAGAAAATTGTATAAATACATATATTTTGTTCCCCTCTCTCCCTCTTCCAGATCTCGCTCGCCACTCTCCCAAATCTCGCTCTCCATCCTCGCCTTTCTCACTTATACAAACAGAAGCGAAATGTATAAATTGTGTTTCTGTTTGTATAAAGCGTGAGAAAATTATATATACACATGCAAATTCATATATTTTCGTCCTATACACTTATAATTATACAATAAAAATACTCTCCTGCTCAGTTTCTTTTGCCTTTCTCTCTTTCTTGTTTTATATAATTTTCAAATTGTATCTAATTTCTCTCTTTCTCGTTTTATACAATTCGATTCAATTGTATATTTCTTGTCAAGTCTCTTTTGCCTTTCTCTCTTTCTCATTTTATACAAATTCAAATTGTATATAATCGTTCTATACACTTATAATAATACAATTCGTTTTATACACTTCATTTTTATACAGTTTTCTGCCCAAGTGTCTTTCTTTTTCTTGTTTTATACACTTCGTTTTATACAATTTGCTTCAACTGTATATGTATAGCGAATTATACAGTTTCTATGTTTGCTATGGAGCGCAATTATGCAAACTTTGCTATAGCATTCACATATGATTTTTTTTATTTGCTATATGTGAAAGTTGCCCTTTGTAAAACTAATAGGGAATAATGATAATAAGAGAACTTAAAGTGAATTTTTATCATTTTTCCTTCAAACCACGGTTTAATTTATTTTTTTTCATTATTCAATTCGTCCATATTTTCCAAAACTAACCATATCAATGGTATATGACTTGGATTTTATTCGTTTTAGGAAGAAACACCCAATATACAAATTTAAGAGAAAATATTACGGATTTTAAATCTACTTTTTAAAATTTTTTGCTTAAAATAATTTAATTACGGGTTATAAAATATGTTATTTATTTATAAATCAATTAAATTTTACTTTATTAAATAATTAGTATTTTTTATAATTTTATATAATTATTAAATTATTTAAATAAAGAATACATCATATTTATCTCTTACACAATTATAGGGATTTACATTGATTATTTGTTCCTTTTTTGCAGTAGTCCAATACGTTGTTCTTTTATAATTATATATTAGTATTAATTTATTTACATAAAAAAATCATAATTATCTCTTACACAATTATAGAAATTTACATTAATTATTATTCTTTTTCTACTGTTACCCAGGTTAGCAATTCATCTTTCCTCTCTTTCAATCATATTCCATTGAAATAGTTTTCAATGTCTAAATATTGATTTGGAGAAATTTTCATCATACAATCAAAAGAAAGGGAGGATTCATAATTCTAAAAATCAAGATTTTAGATTTTCAACATAACATGTCAAAAAAAATCTTAGCATACTCATTAGTAGAAGTGTCAATGGTTGAAATACATGCTCCAATTGAAGTCAAGCATATGACAAATGTGTCTCAACAAGAGTCATGTATTTTTATCTTTTAGTGATTTCATCAGAAAAATTAATTCAATTTATTTCTTAAAATTATTTTTTCTTTCAATTTTGTTTCAGTGATTATGGTATGTACACATGTTTATTTGTTGAATACATCAATAATGGATTTTCTTATATGAGTTCCACTGATTACAAATTAATATTTTTTTTGTTAAAATTACTATATTATGCATATTGTTGGTAAGAACTTGTATTTGTGTGAAACTTATACGAAATGTGAATAATATCGCTATGAAACTCGTTCAGATTTTGTAGGCAAGAAAAAAATTTAAAACAAAATCAACAAATGTGGATGTGGGTCCGTCAAGAAAATCCTCTAAAATAAGAGCAACAATAAACAGTAACTCAAAAATTCCAAAGTAAAAAACGGGCAGAAAAATTGTGTGAGTAAAAATTTAATTTAAATTATCAATTATTTTTTTTTTGGTCATTTATTTATTATTTTCTTAATGAAGTGCAACAATGTGCATAAAATTTATACGAAATTTGTATTATATATTTCATCTTATGTTTTAAATTGATATCCAATCATCTGAATGAGTTTATGTTTGACATGATTTTTTGCATCAATATCTATATGCATTAGCATAAAGTCGATATAAATTTGGTGTGTATTTCCTAATATTTGTATAAATTTGGAGTCCTAATGAAGTTGATGAAATGCTATACTGGTTAGTTGGAATTAATTTATTTTAAATTATTTCTTTATGCATACTATTTTGGCATGAAGTTTGTTTAATGTTGACATGAAATTGCTATAATTTATACATCTATATTTATATGTCTTGTCATGAAATTGATATAATATTGTAGCAACAAGAAAGAGGTGAGAACGATGATGACGCAATTAATGAGAGTGAAGTAACTAAAATTGTTGCTAGCAAATTTGGTGGACCTCACATAGCAAAATAACATGCTTTGGATACCAGCAATTATCCAACACCAAGAGCACGATGATCAAATTTGAGATACTTGATTGTACCTTACACTTTTTAAAATTACAAGTTTTTTTTTGAAACTTTTTTGACGATATTTTTGTGTTTGATGCAATTTTGAGTATTTGATGATGATATCCATTGTTTTATTCAATTGGATTCACCACTGTAAAGATAAATTATACATTGAGTATAACAATTTTTGAGATAATAGTTATGTACAAATTTCATATCAATTGGATTCAACATTTAGAGTTCTACAATGTCTTACTGAAACAAATTGAATACCAATTAAAAGTTTGTGAACTAACTCTATCTAATAATTGATATCCAAACTGTACACTATTGGCATCCAAATACATGATTGATTTTTTTACTTCATATTCTAACATACAAAATAAAAAATAAAAACTGAATGAAGTTGTTATCCAACCTGTAGAAATATCTTGAAGAAATGATTATGTCAATGTAAAATAGTGATCAATGTACTTTGTAACAATCTCAATTAAATCTTGTTTTATATTAATTCAAGTTGGACACATTATGGATACCAACTTAATACTAATTGTAAATTATATTTTCTTAACAAGCGTGAACTAAATATTTTAAAGATATATGAAGTTTATAAACAATCTATATAAATACTATAAGAAACAAATATGATAATTTAAAAAAACGATCATTAAGTTTTACACCAACATCAGTTACATCTTGTTTTATTTTTATTTAGAGTAGGACACGGATACCAAATTAATACTCATGCTAACTTACATTAAATATTATCAGTCGCTATTAGGTTGCATACAAAATGGATACCAAATGCATACCATAATTACCTTATATAATGTTCACTAATATGAACAATGCCTTATATATTAAAGTGTGTGAGTTTTATTTCCTACATTATGCAATTGGTATGATTACTGAATGAATCTCGTATAAAATATGAACAATGTATTAAACACTTAGTTAAAATGGATTTGATAAGAGTTATGTATATATTTTATATACGTTGGCAATATATATTATTGAAAAATAATGAATATATTGTACCAATCAAAACAAAATATGAGTTGAAAAGACAAAATAAAATAAAAATTTTGTATCGTTTAAATAAATAAACTATAAACTTTTTGGAGCTTAAGATCACATTTTTTGTTGGCTTTAATCTAGTTTTTGCGGCCTCTTTGTTGTACTTATGAATTCATGTTTGAACTATTATCCTCGTAAATTCAAGACATGAAATCAGTGGATACCTCCTTGCGAACATGTTAACATTATACAAAGGAATAATAAATATGTTGTATAGATATTCACTTTTCATAACAAGATAATACAAATTTCATCCATAACTTTATTTTTCTCACACAAATTTATACACACTCAACATTAGTTATTCATACCAATATTATTCCAAACAATCTACCAGAATTCTATCATAAAACACATTTCATGAAAAAAAATATGTTGTACATAATGCAAAGGAATAATAAATATGTTCTATTTATATTCAAATGTCATATCAAAACTACAACAAATTTCATCCACAACTTCATTCTTATCACTCAAATTTATAGACACTTGTCATTACTTACTCATAGAAATATCATTCCAAACAATCTACAAAAATTCATACCATAATACATTTCATATATTTATTTTTTACACACATTTCATAAATTTATAACAATATCATCATTACCATTTCTTACAGTATCACGATATGATATAATCAAATGATTCACATATAAATACAAAATTGCCACATTCATTATGTTTACAAGATACAAATTATAAAAATCAGTTTTGAAAATAGTTATAACATCAATTATACAATTTTCACAGAAATTATTTTGTAATGTGAAACAAATGAATCATTAAAAAAATCACAATTTAAATCTATTATACACATTCAAAATTCAATAATTTCATTTTCAGTTTCATTATTCTCAATTATTTTTTTTAGTGAAGTTGGAATAAAAATACAAAGAATAAATTGCAATAAATACTAACCAGAAGGATTTCATCTAGCACCATGTTATATTATTATCGATAAGAATTCGTGCATCACCACAAAATAAAGATTTTTGAACCAAAAATATTTTGGAATTAGTCAAGAATGATGATGTAGCGACCCTCATAATGAACTAGGTGAAAGTAGAGCTTTGCAAGTGTTTCATGAGTTAATAATGAGTTAAAATAGTGAATTTTAATGTTTGAAGTCAGTTTTGTAAGTTTGAAAGTCAAATGTCAAAGAACGACCAAGACGTTTGGAAACTAGATTTATGTGTGCGCTAGTGTGTCCTCGTTTGTTGTGCATGATTTTAGGGTTTGTTTGGAGTATACAACGAGTTGGGATGACCCTAGTACCTGAGGGACATACCAAGGGTCAAAATGATCCAGTAAAGGGTCGTGACTCTAAGATGTTTAAGTTGTGTCTTTTAGTTGGTTGTGACGATGAGACTTACTTCCTAGTACTTATAAAGAGCTTCTTATTATTATTCTTGTGAAAAGTTTTAATTATGCACTACTTTTCATATCTTATGTAATGAATTACAGCTAAGAGGCTTGTATAAGAACTCCGAAGGGTCAAGTACGCCTTGTGACGACTCAAGAGTGCTCCCTTTCTTCTAGGGTGCACTTACGGATCGTTACAAACTTGGTATCAGAGTATAAGGTTTTGAAAAGTAATTTATGGTCCAAAGTCTCACAAGCCACATCTAATAGAGTCTTGTTCATCGGTGTGAGTAACGGTACATTCTTGAGAGAAAGGCTATAATATGATAGAAATGTCACTTTCTTCATTACCCTAGTGTCATGCCATAGAGTTGAGTTCTATAAGACGTCTTTTTTCAATCTCGTCTTTGGTGTTTATAGGACATAAATATGAGGAGGAAACACGCAATAAGAGAGGAGGGAGGAGTAGCTAATGAGAGGATTCCTCCCCGTGGTGTGCAAGTTCATATAGTTGACCAAGAGGATGTGAATGAGGAGGTTCCATCTCAAGAACCTCAAGTGCCACAAATGCCTCCAATTCCCCAAGGTCCTAAAGTTCCCTATGTTGAAGGGCATATGACTAATAAGGAGATAAGGGCTGCTCTTAGGATTTTGACCCAACTCATGACGATACAAGATCAAGTCGTCAGTAATCATGTAGTTGCCCAAGCTAACCTAGGAGTTGGACAAAATGCAAGTACTCTCGCTTCTAGAATTCGGGATTTTATGAGGATGAACCCTCCTACTTTCCATGGAACTAAAGTGGAATATCCACAAGGCTTCATAGATGAGGTGTTTAAGGTTGTGGATGCTATGGGTGTGACTCCTAGAGAAAAGCGGAGCTAGCCGCCTATCAACTCAAAGATGTGTCTCAAGTGTGGTTTGAGAAATGGAGGGATGAAAGACCCTTATGAGAAGGTTCGGTAGATTGGGAAGTGTTCAAAGTGTCTTTTATTGATAGGTTTTCCCCATAGAATTGAGGGAGAGAAATTTGAGGGAATTCATGAACCTTCGTCAAGGGGGGTATGAGTGTGAAGGAGTAGTCTCTCAAATTCACCCCACTCTCTAAGTATGCCCCAACTATGGTAGCCAACTCTAGGGCTAAAATGAATAATTTTTTGATGGGAGTGTCTATCTTGGTGGAAAAAGAGCGTTGTATGTCAATGCTCCATAATGACGTGGATATCTCTAGGCTCATGCTGTATGCTAAAGAAATTGAGGAGTCCAAGCTTAGGGAGATAAGTAGAGAGGGGAAGATGCCTAGGTCGGATGAACCAATTCAAACCAAGTACAAGAAGAGGTTTTATCATCAAGAGTCTTCCATGGGAACAAGAATAGGGTTTCCAACCAAAATTCCCAAGTAGGTGGCCATGCTTTTTGAGAGGTCTAGGTGTGCTACTTGTGGGAAGCAACACTTGGGTAAGTGTCTTGCCGATACTGATGGTTGATTTGGGTGTGGTAATAGGGGTAATAATATGAGAGATTTCCCTAACCTCAAGGCAAAAGGGAAATAGGTCAACCAAGCTCCTCATGGTGGTCCGGATCCTAATGCTCCCAAGATGAATTGTTTCTATGCACTCGGAACTAAAGGAGAACACTAATCCAGAATAAAGCCCTGTAAGTCTTAATTCATTATGGTTGTCTGTTTTGTCTTTGATGGGTTTGAGCTAAGTGGGGGAGTATGAGTTGAGTAGCAAGGTAGTTGATACCCTTATCTTTTCCTTCTATTCTTACTCAAGCTTGAGACCAAAATCCTTAGTAGTCTGTTATGATTTGGAGTCTTGCATTTGAGTATGAGTTTCATGTCTCCTTAGGTTATGAGATTCATTGCTGATATGATTTTTTGCATGCTCTTTATATTACCATGGTTATATGATTAGATTGATAGTTGACCTATACTTTCCATGCCAATGTGTATCTAGTGATATTTGCTTAATTGCTTCAAGTTGTTGTACTTATCTGTCAATGTGTGATTTCAAGTTATTACACGCTGAGCTTTGAAATGGTATGATAAGCATGTATAATGTTGGAGAAGGTAGTTTCTCCATAAATGGGGAGAAAATGAAGAAATAAGTGTGTGCTTGGAATTGTGGAAATAGTTTCAGATTTGCTTGTGTTTCTTAAAATGTTTAATGATATGAAGTTGGTGTTCCTCGTAAGTTTTTTAGATTGACTATAAATGTTATGAACATGATTTTATGTCTTATGTGCTTCTATTTGAGTCCTTAATGTCCTTAAAGGTGTTTAGTGTCATTCGAGGACGAATGTTTTTCTAAGTGGGGGGAATGTAGGAACCCTCATAATGAACTAGCTTGAAATAGATAATCACAAGTATTTCATGATTTAATAATGTGTCGAAATAGTGAATTTTAATGTTTGAATTCAGTTTGGTGAGTTTGGAAGTCAAACATCAAAGAACGACCAAAACGTTCGGAAACTAGCCTTGTGTGTGCACTAGTGTGTCCTTGTTTGTTGTGCATGATTTTAGGGGTTGCTTTGGAGTCTACAACCAGTGGGGATGACCCTAGTACCTAAAGGGACATACCAAGGGTAAAAAATTTTGAGTAAGACTCTACGGGGACCACCTTAAGGGTCCCCAAGGAGGACCCAAACGTTGGCAAAAGGAAGTTGTCAGACAGCCAAAATGTGGAGACAAGGGCGCGTCGAGCCTGCTACACTTGGTAGACAAACTTTTCT